TTGTTTTTATCTCTCTAATAATTGTATTAATATATTCATAGAAAATAATTATATTAATATGTTGAAAATCAAACATAAACTAAACAAGTTTCCCCTTTTTTTATTTATTTAAAGTTACCAAATTAATAAAAAAATTAAAAATTACAATTATATAATATTGCCTAAATTCCTATATAATTGGGTTAAAAAAGGTGCAACAACTAAAGTTATACCACAAATTGCCAAAAACTAAAATTAATTTTCAAATACCATCGACTTTGAGTTGACTTCAACTTGTGGTGAAGAAATATACTAAAAATGGTGTGCCAATCGACAGCCAAAGGTAAAATGCACTTTATAAAACTTTCCAGGTGCTGCAACCTGCTCGTTGGTTGGAATTCCGTAATACTACTAATAAAGAGAAAATACTATATTAAGTCCTTAAATTTATCTTAAAATTTTAATTAAATTCTTAAATTTTTATCAAAATAAAAAAAATTTTGAACTTAGTAATTAGGTAATTTAACTCTTTTTTTTTTCCGACAAACTTAATGTTCATGTATACATCACTAATGTAGATAAAGTATTAATATATTATTATTTATATGGTAGGTGTTAATTTTATCTACTTAAGTAAAACAAAAATATGCATTAAGTTCATCATAAGAAAAAAAGTTAAATTATTTAAATGGTCAAATTTAAGGGTTTATTTGCTTTAATAAAAATTTAAAAATTTAACTGAGATTTTATAATAAATTCAAGGGCTTAAAATACGTTTTGCCGCTAATAATAGTCTGTTTGGTTGGTATTGAGTAATATTTATAAGAGCATGGGGATTGCGTGTCGGTTGGGTTGACGGATTCAACAATCAACAATCAACATTCAAAATGAATAAATAATCAAACGTTGAAGGACAAACTCAAAACTCACGCTTGACTCTACTGGGTGTTCCTAACCGATCTTTTTTACGTAGTATTAATTATTTTGACTCTTGATTAATAATTATAAACATACTTGTATTTTACTTCCGCTTCCTTTTTCTAAAAAGCTTTAAAATATTAAGGTGTCGATTTTAGATACCTCATTGAGCTAAGATATAGTTGTAGTTATAAATTTTATTTATTTATTTTTTTGTAATGAACTATTATCAAATTAGTGTAATAAGTCTCATGGAACTTGGACCAATTTGTGCTTGAATGTGTGATGTCTGACATAAACTAGTTCTATATAGAGGGGAGGTTGTTATTTGCCCATTAGATTGTCAAAATCTACATGTTCTGTTTCAGGAGACGCACTATATGCATTGAGGACTTCATTGCATGCGTCAGCCAATCAGTTGACAGATTGGAATCAAAATCAAGTTAACCCTTGCACTTGGTCAAATGTTATTTGTGATAGTAACAATTATGTAAAATCTGTGTAAGCGGTCTCCAATTTATTCTTTTTTCAAATTAATTTTTGATGCATGCTAATACCATTTTCTTGTGGTATTTAGTCATCATTGCAATCTTAATGTCTTTATTTGCCTAATTTTTTTTACAAACAGATGTTTACACTACACTCTTGTTTGCAGAACATTATCATCCATGAACTTTTCTGGAACCTTGTCCCCTAGAATAGGAATTCTGAAGACTCTTACAACACTGTATGTATTGACTACATTGGAGCAAACAGTTCATTTTACAAATTTAAAGTTAATCATAGTATATCCTGTGTGTTCTACATGTAGTACACTGAAAGGAAGTGGTATAACTGGTGAGATACTAGAAGAGTTTGGAAACTTGTCAAGTTTGACCAGCTTGGATTTGGAAAATAATCATTTAAGTGGTGAAATACCACCTTCCCTTGGCAAACTTCAAAAGCTTCAGTTCTTGTAAGTCATAGTGTTGTTAGCTTCTGAAGTATGTTTTTGTAACTTTTTTTTCCTGTTTCCTCTTTCAATATTCATGAAAGGGTGTTCTTTTTTACCCTATGCAAGCGGGACGTTAAGTCAAAACAATCTTACTGAGGCAATCCCTCAGTCACTTTCTGGTCTTCCAAACTTGATCAATCTGTTAGTCACAATATTTTATTAATTTCCAGTAAACTTGTTTAAATATCTATTACTTGACTTTTAGTAGAACTGTGAGTAAATTGCTCCAGCCTTCTGCAGTGTCTGTCCTTGACGTTGTTTAAGTTTTTGTATTACTTTTCATTTGGTCAAAACTCTTTGAAAAAATAATTCTATCATTTTCCTAACAATTCTCTCTCTCATTTTCATTTTCTCTTGTTTGCTTGGCACTTCTAGCTAGGTCCAATGAGTTTTATGTAGGTTGAGTGATTTATGCTATGAGCAAGGTTTTACTTAAATTTGTACAAGTGGCACAAATTTCCTTGCAGTTAGAATGATAAAATATAAGTTGGTGATTTGTGGTTATAGGGTGCCTTTTGTAACCTTCTTGTAACCTTGAGATGCTATTTGAAGTTGATCCTCAGCTCATCATGTGGATGCTGACGTGCATTGTAAAATATGTCATTGTCTCATTGGTCTAATTTTAAAACTTTGGATTTTATGTGAAAGTTAGATTGCTTTTGGCTTAGCAAGTGGAGAAAATGAGTCACTAGCCACTCTGAAAACACACAATGGCTTATAGAAACAAATGAGATTTTTGAATTTAAAATTATTATTACTCAAGATTGCACTAATAATTGCAATTTGAAACACGTCTATTTTGC